GATACGACTGAATCAGTCAGTACTAAATGATCACATATCTTGTGCTTAAACATTGTTTCATCTATATACATTAAACAACATAATCAAAAAGTCCAATACACACCTTGTTTTTCTTCAGGTGTGTCAATAAAAGAAGGCATTCTTTTCATTGTTTCTCTCAACTCCTGTTTCAAGGCCAGTATATAATCTTCACCTTCTCCTGTTTTTAGTGGCACTGGCTTATAATCTATATCCTATTTAAATTAAGAGACAAAAATTTTTTAAATAAATTAAATATTTTAATATACTTTTGTATATATTCTACAAAACATCAATTTTATTGAAAAACTATGTTTCCTAGGCACTAAGTTTTATAATCAACTTAAAAGATGTTGAACTTCTGTAATCTAACCTTTTGGTGCATTTCCTACTTTGCTCTTATTTTAGAGGTAGGAAATATACATAATTTTCCTATTGGCCCTAAGAACTATAATGATAATCATTTTACTAAATTGTCTGTTGACTAATCTAATTCCTTATTTTAAAAACCAATGCACCCAAACGAGAGCAAATTACTTTAGTTTCCTATTAACCTCAACCGTGGTGGTGTTATGGGTGGGAGCAGTAGCAAAAGCAGCTATCATTTATAAAGTGGCTACTATGACTAGTATTCAATATCCATTATCTCATTTTAAATATTACCAATACTTCCTCTTTTACAATGAGGAAATTAAGAAGTGAACAATTTGTAAGCCCATATAATGAGTAAATGGCAGAGCAGGAGTTTGAAGCTACGTTTCAATTTAGAAAAATTACACATACACACATATTTATACATATATATTATAAAGTAGGTTCCCAGGGTCCATGGTGAAGACATATCTGGTTTCAGAGGATAAGGATGGTGTACAGTTTCAAAATCTGACTCAGAATGTATTCATTCATTCTACAGCTATTTATTGAGTGTCTATTATAAACTAGACATGGTTAGATAACAGGAGATACCATAATGAACTAGTCAAAGTCCCTGCCCAAATGGTAGAGGAGAAACCCATAACATATAAGTAAACAAATGAGGTGATGTACAATCTCACATAGTGATAAGTGACACGAATAACAAATGAAAGAAGGTAGAAGAAGAAAGACTGACAGAGCACACGGAGGTTGGAGGGGGCTCATCTACATGGGCTAAGCACACAGGGCCTCTTGGGGAAGTCACATTTGAGCAGAGATATGGATAAAATCAGGAAGCCATCCATATAAAGAATGGAGAACAGATGGTTCCACTAGGAAACCCGCAGGGGCAAAGGCCTGAGGGAA